GTAAACGACCGTATAGCAATCAGAATGGTTCAAAAGAAGTTAAACCAAAACCAAAAAAAATTGCATTTAAATAATGGTAAACACTTCAAAAAACCGGTTAAAAATTTCCACTGAAAACTGTACAATGATAAATCTTTATTTTGCTCTAACAGAAGTTTCAGGAATTAAATAGAGAAACAAAAAAAAAAGGGATAGATTTTTGGCTGTCTCATATAAATTCTGTTAACAGTCAGTAACCTGGAAAAAACTGCTTCTGTGATGCTTCTGTAATGCAAAAAAAAAAAAACCGTCAAGTTAAAGCTGACGTTATAATAAAATGGTAAGCAGACACATTTTTCAGATGACAAAAAACCAACCTTTAAATACTTTACTTATATATATATAACTCTTTGACCTTTAAACTGTTTAGCAGTAAGCAATTGTTGATAACAGATTAATCATCAATTGCCACAGCAAGTTGTAGTTTTTTGTTTTTAGATAAAGAACGATCAGTGAAAGTAATTTTTGTCAGTATACTGTTAAATAGATAATTTGTAATTACAGTTCTAAAAGAAAACAGTTACTGTCGACCACCAAACTTTAGTAACTTTTTTTTTTTCTTGAAAAATTATAGCAAAAAAAAAGTTACATAAGCGATATTTTAAGAGTAAAACTAAGTGATCAGTGTTTGTCAATGTAATTTTGACCTGTTAACAAAGTCATCAGAATATTTGTCTGATAAGCCATTAACAATAAGTCGGTGTTTTTTTTTAGAGCAAATTTATCGATGTATCATCGACTAAAGGCGCCATAACAGATCTCTATCAACTGTATTTTTGAACAGTCTTACATAGGAAATAGACAAAAAAAATTTATTCCCTGCAATTATTATTACTATCAGTGTTTTCTTTTTTTTTCTATTTTCAATTATTACCTATTCAAAAGTGTGTACAATAGTTCTTTAGAGTAAATTTATTGTATGTGTCTTAACATTAAGATTAGTTAATATTTGTGAAAAAAAAAAAAGAAGTTGAAAAGTTTTGTAATTACTGTTACTGAAAACTCAATTATATGATTTGTGTAAAATGCTATCTGAAAGACAGTAAATTAATCATCAACAAAGAAAAGCATTTGTCTTAGTTATTCTTCATTTTTTTTGTTTGTAAACTGCTTTCCTCTACCAATTTATTGAAATTAACAGTAATATTTTGTTGAATGCTGTCAATAAAAAAAAGAGCAATTTTTGGAGAAAAAATATTCAAAAAAAAAAAGATACTTTGTAAGGCTAAAAAAAAAAAAGTGTTAATGTCGATTCTATTCGGTGAACAATTACAGTTAACGTCGGAATAAAATTGTTGTTTTTACCAATGATAATATCAACGTAAAGTCTATTCAACCAAACAACAAACTACAAAAACAACAGCATTGAATTATTTTTGATTACAAATGATGGTTAACACCAACAAATCATATTTTTCATTTTATCCAAACTTTATTTGCATAAAATTTTTTAAAGAAGGTAAAGACCGATGAAAATTGAACCAAAAAAAAGAAGAAAGAATCCGATACATCATAGCGTAATATAACCTTAGACAAAAAAAAAACAGTAGAAAACAAAGAGGAAGAAAAAAAAAAAA